TATAGTCAGAAGCGCAGGAGGGTGAGAGAATTCACCAGAGCCAGAGTGGGGAACAGAACAGGCAGACTGATGAAATACACTGCTGAGGGGAGCAGCGGGCGGCAGGAGAGGTCTGTGCACCTTGTGGGACCCTCGCCCAGTGGCCGGGGATGAACCTGTGCTACAGAGGCTGCGGGCAGCTTCGCAACCCAGCTCTCAACCGCTGCACCACTGGGGAGGGCCCCAGTGTTATTTTTTATTAACTGTGTTGTCTTCTCTCCAATAATATAGTTTTAATTTTTACTTATTCATGGACTCTAGCATGTCTTTTGTCTATGTGCAAAGCAAAATAGGAGAGACGCACAAAGCAAAGCTTTTGCTCTCGAGAACTCTCATGTGGAGACATGTTTTTTTTTCTTTATTAAGTAAATGTAATATCATGGGGAGAGACCAAAGGAGCAAATGAAGCAAGCCCAACTAGACATTTCCCAGAGCACCCTGATTTGTTACACATCCAATTTACACGGTGATGGATTTTGGCTCTTTATCAGCTTGATTATGTTAAGCTTCCTGTGTTCTCTGTGTTTCCACTTCAGAGACAAGAAAAAGTTAAAATGAACAAATCAAAGAATAAAAAGGAAAAAGCTTCTACTACCCTGCCACAGCAGATTAAAAAAATAAATCTTCTCTTCATTTTGTCTTTAAACATCTAACTAAAGTACCTTTATTTTACTTTATTTTCCCCACATGGCAAAAGAATTAGGTACATAAGGAAAACTTAACATTTCGGAAGGGTGTTATTATCATTCCTCTATTATTTATAAATATTTATTGAGTGCCACTTTTCTGTAAAAAAATAAAGAATAAAAGGTGAAGAACTGTTGCTTACTCAGGTATTGGCTTAGTAATTAATCATAAAAGGTACAACATTGGGGCCACAATAAAGTTACAGTGAAGACATGAAGAGTACAAGGGGAAGGAAAAGGTCCAATCTCAAGGGAAGATGGGACACTTCATGGAGCAGGGGTTGTTCAGATAAGGTGTTGAGGATAGTTAAGATTCTCATAGGTGGAGTCTGAGAGTGAAATGGGAGACTATCCCCTCAGGACTCGGGCACCTGGCCTCCAGAGCATTGCTTGTGGGTACTGCAAGCAGTAGCAAGTGCTGGGCATTTTTCTGCCTGCCACCAGTGGCCCCACTGGGCTTCAGGCTGCAGGCAGAGGCTAGCGGTGATGACAAGAAGCACTGGTTCCCCTCCCAGGCTGCCCCAGGGCATGCAGCTCCTGAGTCTGGCTGCAGTGAGAAGTGGGGCCTCCATGGGGCCAAATGCAGCGCTGTGGCTCCCTCCAGCTGCAGGCAGTAGAGAGGCCTGTGGATTTGGTGCCTGGGTCATAGAATGGACTGATCAGGTGCAAGCTGTGAGCTGATCGGTAAATTGACCAATCAGCCATAGGATTAAAAATGGTCCAATCAGATTTGTAGGTGGGAGATCGTGAAAGGATACAAGGCAGGGCAGGCCCCACCTTGGGGCTCTCAGTTTGGGCTTTTAGATTCTGTTCCTGACCTCAAAAAGAAGATGACTCATTCTGTTGCTGAGAAAGAGGCTGTTCCTAGCCTCTGAAGAAAGAAGCATCATCTAGCAGCTGACCTCCTAAGAGAGAAGAAAAGCTGAATTGCTTCATAGCGCCTGGGCCAGCAGCACCTGCCTCTGGCCTCTTAGCTTGAAAGAACAAAAGGCCTAGTGTTTCAAAGAGCTGTTTGTTGGTGCTGTGGGCCAACAATTCACATAGAGCTATAATGCTGGTGTTTCTAACACCACCTCTGGTGACCAGGTAACCAGCACTATTGGCCAATACTGCACAGCACTGCTGATCCGTGACCTGTACTCTATGTCCCGGTCACCTTTTGAGAGCTGTTAATTATCCAGTGCTGCTGCCTCTTTTGCTGTCTGGTCCATTGTGCAGTGCTGTCCATCCCATCCTTCAGACTGTTGCTGTGGGCTGCTGCAGCATCTCAGTGGCCCCACCTGTGAGTGTCTCCAGCTGCGGTGAGTTGCATTCTGGCTTGCTGCTTGCCATCAGCTTCAGGCCTTTTTGGCGGGATAGCGCCATCTTGGCTGGGTGTCTTTTGTTTAGGACTTTGTACACTGTTGACACTATCTGGGATGAGATAACTGGCCAATTGTGGCCCTAGGAACTCTTTGTTTTCCCTGTTTGTTAAATCCTTTTGTTGATACCTGGGCAGTCTTGTAATCGTGTGCATGGCTGACCTATCCTCTGTTGGTTATTGTCCTTTGAGCCTCTGCCATAGCTCTCTTTCAAGAGGACCTTTCAGGCACTTTTCATGGTTTGTTCAGGGACTAGAGATAATGTGGTGTCATTGAAGCTTTGGATGTTTCAGTTGTAGTGGGGTCCATATTGCTGAAAGAAAGGGGATGGGAGCTGAATAGAGAGTTATGAACACCTGGTACAGAACTTGACTTTCCCTGTTTTTCCTTAGGTGGTTATTAGTTTGAACATAATTAGAAAAAGACAAGATCTGTTTCCAGCATAGGTCTCTATCTTAGTCATCGGTGTACATACTTACCGTATATAAGGCATGGCTCAACCAACTTATCATAATCCCCTAAGATCACCTGGCTAAAGGATGATGTTTTTTGTGTTCAGGTTTTCCCACCTCACACCAAGAATGGACTTGTTAACTTGTCTAGAAAGAAATTTATTTTTCATTTTTCTCCCCTGAGGTCATTAGGGAAGTCTATGAATTGGCTGAATTGCTAACTGAATAGTGCTGGTTACTGTAATCTTCATTAGTTAGCTTTATTCCAAATGGAAAATAGTCTTTTGGGTTGTCTGTTAGCTCTCAGTGAATCATATTAACTTCAGCAGGTGAGATGTACTTTCTTTCACATTCCATTTTCTACTAAGACAGCACAATTCTGAGGTATTCACCTTCAGTGACTGTACTGTTTCCTAGTTTTGCTGGCTTATATACATTGGGACCCCTTCTGGGGGCCCAGAGAAATCATCTTGATCTCATCCAGTGTTCCTGAACCTTGTTTGCCTACTAGAATCACCTAGAAGTGGTTCAAAACCTCTTTACCACAGATACATCAAACTCAGTCTCTGGGGGTGGGGAGGGCAGAACCCAAGTGTTAGCAGTTTTTAAAACTCCTCAGGTGACTCCACTTTGCAGCGAAAGTCAAAAACAGATCCAGAGCAGGTAGTCCTTACAGTGCCTGTCTCTTGATTACCATCTGTTCAAGAGCAGAGTGTGGTCTGCTGAGCTGCAGCATCAGCATTACCTGGAAACTGGCTACCAAAGCCTTTTCTCCAGCCCCACCCTAGGCCGAGTGAGTCAGACACTCTTTTGGGTGAGGCCTTCTGTAACAAGCCCTCCAGGTGATTTGATGCTTACTAACTTTTGAAAGTCATGACCTAGATCAGTAGAAAGGATTAAAATGAAAGGGAATCAAATTTTGGGGGGGGTCTTACTTGTGTCATAAAATTAGATATATGTGATTTAAAAGAAAGTAATACTTAAGTGTATTTTAACTCCAGTATAACTCTAAATAGCAAGTATTCTATTTTTTTAAATCAAAGTTTGCTACACACACTTTATATTAGAATCACCTGGTTAAAAATGTGTTTATCTCAGGAATCTAAACTTATGAATCATAATTTCTGAGGCAAGGTCCAGAATCTTTATTTTTCACAAGTGGTTCTTTGGCAAACTAACATTTCAGAAACCTTGTTCTAAATGATTGGCAATGTGTATATGAATCTTCTATATGCTTCATTAAAATACATGGTTTCTGTATTTGCCTCTATTGAAATTAATGATTCATTTGGTTAGTTTGTAGAATTTGTAATAGTGAAATATGTTATCAAAAGTTTGCTGTGTAAAAGCTGTTCTCTGTACTGAGTTATAACTAGAATGTGCATTTTTTACTTATTAAGACATGGTTAATACTATTTTTAAAAGAGTCATTTCAAGTATCTAGAATGGTATAATTTTGTTTTTAGCTCACTTTGTAAAAGATCATTTTTATTTTAAGATGCTCCTTATTCTAGTTGATAAGGTGAAAATATAATGATAGTAAATAGAAAATATACCAATTAATATTAGTACAGCAGAGATTGATTAAAAATGATTTTCAGAATTCTCTGTAATGACTCCTTGTAGAAGTGTATTTTATAGCAGTGTCATTGGGAAGCCCCTGGGTTAGAATAAAATACAGAATCAGCATCTACTTAACAAGAATTAGGTAATAAAATATTTTCAGCCTGCTCATCTTTCTAAAATTATCTCTGTAATTTTCACTTGGGGGGGGACAGATATAGGCAATTATGAAGACTAACAAAACCTATCAGTTTCATTATAATACAAATGTTATGAAATATTTTTACTTAATGTAAATGAACATTTTAGTTTGTAGTGTTGTGTTCACAAAATGTTCAGTGTTGATGTTGATAAGCCTTTGCTATTTTCAGAAGCAAAGAATCACAAATTGAATGCCAGTGATCTAAATGACATTCAGATGGCTTTTACCTATCAACATCACTTAAATAGCAGATTGCATCTGTTTGCAATCTGCTATTTAAGTGAGTGTTATTTTGCTTAAATTTCTGTTGCTTTGTATGAAATTTTATGTCTGGTAACCTAACATGTATGATGGTGATGATGTGGTTACCTGTAATAGCTGACATTTAAGTGCTTCCATGTCAAAAGCTGTTAACGTGTATTTTATGTTTTTCAATTTTAGAAAAGTTAATATAGGTCAACAGGTGAAAGAACTGAGGCATCAAGTGATTAACAAGTGTGCCTAAGTCACATAGTGTAAGTGGCAAAACTGGAACTTAGAGTTCTTGCTCTTAACCAATATGAATACTAAAATACTATGCTGATTGAAATCATAGCTTAACTCTTAATCCTGCAATCATTTGTTTTGGACCTTATGTGATTTATAGGTGTAAGTGTTCATCTAAAGTTTTTTTCCAATTTTTTTTTTTTTTTTTTAGGAAACTGCTTCTTTTTATTGTGCTATGTGTGACAGGGGATGCTGTTTATGCACAAGAACAAGGTAAGAAGGTCAACTTGTTAACTTATTTATATAAAAACTCTGCTCCTAGACATAATTTTAAACAATAATACATAATTTTAAACTATAATATAACCTTTAGTTCAACATTAAACAAAAAATTCTACCCAGTATGAATGAGAATGTAAGGGTAAAGAAATTTTGGGGGGAAATATGACCTTTCTGGAATTACTCATATCTTCCATCTGTGAAATTTCTTACATTTTTAAGCAAACTCTCTATAAAAGGGAAGTTTTGTAGTGTGAAAAGGCTTTCCTTGTGACCTCATTTTTAAGTGGGAGTTCTTGGGGGTGGCAAACTGTAACTGGTTTACCTTTGCACTTCATGAAACAACACAAGCATATACTAAATGTTCCATCTAGATTTACATCATTAAGAGACAAGATGAAATTTGCATACCGGTGGGCTTGGATTTTATTTCATCCCAATGGAGAGGTTTAGGAAGTACTCAGTGTTTTTTTGTTTTGTTTGCTAACTAGTTGCTCTAATAGTATAGTGATAGTTTCAGGAATCTCTGTGTACCCCAATTTATTATCCAACATTTACAATGTATTTTCTAGTTGCCACATAATATCCTAATTACTATTAATTGAAATAGGAATAAGATAATGTCTCTGATTTCAAAATGAAAAAAGCATGTACTTAATGTCAAAGGAAGAAATGCCAAAGTCAAAGAGAAAAATCCTGGAACTGTGTGGAACTTATAATTATCACCATGACCTCATTTTTTTTCTTCTCTGCCTTTTATCTAGCAGGGCTGGCTGATGACTGATTCTGATAGAACCAAATATTCTATTCAGTGACTAATTCAATGAACCACTGATTGCCAGTTTGCTTAGTCAACCAAATAACATTAAAGACAAGTAAATCATGAATGAAATGTGAGCAGGTAGACAGGCGCCACAAAGAGGGGTGTTGCTCTAATAGACCAGATTGACAAGCGGGCATAGATGTATGAAAACCAGCACAAAGACGAATTAAGATATGAGTTGGAAGGCATTTTCTAATGTTTTTTTTAAATGGGTAAATAGTTACATTAGGTTACACATCACATGTAACTTTAGGAAATGTCATTCTTGACCAACCCATTTCTTTTGCTTCATTTTAAGTAGCCATGAAGAGCAGAGCTACCATCTCCTAATTTCTAATTATGAGTGTTCCAATTTGTGAAAACTTCTGTAGCAGTCACTATGTTAGAAAAATGTGTATTTCACCACTACTTCATCGCAAAATTTTTTATAATTATGCCCATGATAGAATTACTAAAACCCAGATTAAGATTAAGTAGTAGGTAATTATCTCAAATGTTACTGGCTAACAAAAGGAAAAACCAGGATTTGAACTTACTTTGACTGTAGAATCTATAAATTATTTAAAATTAAGCCTCTGGACCATAGAGAAGATAAGAGAATTGCCATTACTAATTTGTTTTGTGTATTGTCTTGTCTTTGGCAGTTACTTTACATATGCTATTCTAATCCTCATGAACCTGCAGGGTATGTAGTACTACACATAAGGAAATTGAGATTCCTCCCTTATAACCACTGGCTTATTCTCAGAATCTAAGAGGTATTTTTTTGTTTTGTAGTTAATTTGCTTTGAAAGTTAAAATGGCATGATGTAATTATCAGATTAGAAAAATATTTTCAAAGAAATCATGGCTTCATAATGATCTCAGATACCACCTGTGACCTTAATACTACAAAATATGTCTATTTGAACTAGACTTAAACCCAAATTGGACTTCTTGGAAATGAATATGTGCTTATGAGATTTTTCAAAATTAAAGTAGCAAAGTAATTCAAGTATGTAGTTTAAAGAACAAGTTGTAAGACAAAACATGATGAAAAATGTGTATGGTCCTTTGACCTTACCCACTCCTGAGAGCTATCCAAACTCTCTTGTACCTTTTTAGCAATTAACTTCCATATTTCCTGATATTTTTATTTTATGGACATCCTATTACTGATGAGGCTTTAACATTGTACCATTTGTTTAGGTGGGGTTTTTTTTTGTATTTTTTTTTTATTTTGTATTTTTTTTTTGTATTTTTTTTGTATTTGTATTTTTTTGTATTTTGTATTTTTTGTATTTTGTATTTTATTTTGTATTTTTTTGTATTTTGGAAGTATAGGACTCCCCGTAGCACCCAACACCCTCCTGGTGCTGTTGTAATAGCTCTCCCTCCACCAAGGCATCCAGTGTCCACCACCATAGTCCATTTTGCTCTCTCCTCCTGCCCTTCTGAATGTGTTTTATACTATGCTTTTAAGCGTTGGTTTTTGAGTTAGTACTTTTTTATTCTCTCAACATAGTTTATCAAGTTAGGTTAATATTTATCTAATTATGACCATGTATGTATTTTTTTTAACCACGTAATCATTCATACTTTCTTGTGCAAAATTACAAGATTATCTCCTTTTATTGTTTGGTTTGTATTCTGTCACCATGACTAATGCTCAGATACTCAAAAAAAATTCTAAAATTTCTTTGAAAAATAAAAAAAAATACACCAAGCATTTTTTGTTCTTGGAGATATTTCTTCTAGAAGCTAAAATTCTCCTGTTTGATCCTGGATCTGTAGAACTTTAAAGTTCCTGTAGAATTGATGTCACTTATTTCTGTTAGAGCCAGTGTCTTAGGACCCATTTTTCTTTTTCATCTCCCATTTTCTTATTGGAGTGGAGTGGCATCCTGAGAAGGTGTTATGTATCAATACTTTTTTGCAATGTGGAGAGTATGTGTGCATTTCTGAGAATGTTTATTTCACCCATATATCTTAGAACAGTGGGCATAAATTTTAGGTTGTAAATTGTTTTTCCTTCAGAATTTTAAAGGTTTTTGTCTGTTGTCTTCTGTTTTTTTTTTTTTTTAAGATTTCTTTATTTTTATACAAGAATTGGGGTACAGGCCAGAGATATGGGAGGTGAGAGGATTCACGAGAGACAGAGCAGGGAACAGAACAGGCAGATAGACCAAAGTACACTGCTGAGGGGAGCAGTGGGTGAGACAGGAGAGGTCTGTCCCGCCATGTAGGTTTCTCCCTGGCTGGCAGGGAATCGAACTCATGCTGCAGTGGCTGCAGATTACTTCGTAGATTGCGTCTTAACCCCTGCGCCACCAGGGAGACCCTCTGTTGTCTTCTGGTTTTGCAGTAAAGAAATCTGATGTTATACTATTCTTGATCCTTAATATATGACCTTAAGATCATCTATTTATATTGATATCTTGAAATTTCACAATAAAGTGCCTTGGTACAACTTTTTTCAATTAATTGTGTTGTGCATTCAGTGCAGGGTTCAATAGGAAAGATCTTTCATTTTTTAAAAATATTTTATTTATTTGTACATACAAGAACTGGGGTGTAGGCCGGAGGTGTTGGGGGTGAGAGGAGTCATGAGAGACAGAGTGGGGAGCAGAACAGGTGGATCTACTGAAATACACTGCCGAGGGGAGCAGCGGGTGAGACAGGAGAGGTCTGCCATGTGGCTTAGCTCCCTGGCTGGGGATCGAATACATGTTGCAGTGGCTGTAGATAGCTTGATAGTGCTGTGTCCCCAGCCCCTGTGCCATCAGGGAGGTCCCAAAAGATCTTTCATTTTCTGGGAATTTTCCCGTTATTTTTCTCTTCTGCATTTTCTCTATATGCAAATTCTGCTGGTCAGATATTAGTTCTCCTGGGTTGAGCTCCTTACTTCCTTATTTTTAGCTTCTCTTTCCCATCTTTGTTTTGTTTTGTTTTTAGATTTTCTTAAGTCACTATTTCAAATACTGTCATTTTTTGTTGTATTTAAAAATTCTAAGAACTTACTCTGATTGTTCCCTTTAAATAGCATCTCTGTTTCTTTGCACTATCTATTTTTATCTCTCTAAGGATAAGAATACCTCTTAAACTTTCATTTTGCTCACTGCACTTGTCTGTTTACTTCAAATTTTTACTTGTTTTGGTATGTCTTTTATGCTGGAAAAATTCTTTAAGTCTATGGTACCTGTGTTAGCATTTAAATGTAAGGCACTAAAATATGCTTGGAATCTCTGTTTGTTCGGATAGGCTTGTCAACTGGTTATATTTTACATAGTGATTAGGTTGGAACTTAGGTGATGATCATCTTGTTAAACCAAAAGTGTCTGAGAGTATACAGTTTCTTAAGAGAAAAATACTCCAATCATTTACTTGTAGAATGCAATCATGGTTGCTACTATTGGAATAAAGTGATGTGAAGAGGTTTTGGGAAATGGGGTGGGGGTGCTGTCTCACCATTTAGTATGTAGATATTAATTGGATTCCATTGTTCTCAGTGTGGATTTCTCATCTGTCTTCTTTTATGATTCAATGTTTGTACATAGGTAAGCTTTAATCTGTTATGGTTTCAATTTCATACACAAATTACTGCTACTGCCCCATTCGAATTCTTATGGTGCTTCAATTTTTGAGTTATTTTTCAGGCTTTTTCTGATCAGCCTGCTAGTCATTGCACCTGCCTCTGCAAGCCCTTAATGTTCAGTTTTTTTTTAGCTCAGCTGATTCCTTCTTATGCTTTTAATCTTCCAAAAATGCACTGGTGTTTCTCTTTGCTATTGTCTTTTCTCCTTACTCTGCCCATATAGTTTTAAACCACCATTCTTTATTTTAGAGAAATATAAAGATTGAGAAGAAAATTTCTGATCTGTCATGATTTTAATTATCCCTTTAAATTTTAACACAGGTAAGGAAATCAGAAATTATTAAACATAAACTTTAAGTAAAACTTTGTTATAGAAACAAACATAATCTAGTAAATAAATGGTTCTACTTTAAGAAAGAATACTGTGTTTTCTGAAGATATGACAGATATAGTTCTTTTATCTGATGCAGTCTACTTTATTTTCTGTGTTAGTGGGCTGACTTCAGTGAGATTGACATAGCTATAGCACCTTTACATGATAATTCAGACCATAAGAGATTTAGAGCTAATTCTTAATATACACAGCATTCTTAGACT